AACGAAAATATCCCTGTGTTATCAACACTGTTTCCAGCACAAATCCAAACCATAGCCCCATACTAGCTACTGTGAAGAAAATTAACTCTATCCCAGCCAAAACCAGCACGTACAGGTACACCCTCTGGACACACACGGGGACACATGCTAAGGTTTCAGGAGCACTCATAGTTTAAAGGCAAGTTTTGTTCCTCTCTGCATGCATCATATCTCCTCATATGTGAATGGAACTGTCAACTTTGTATGTAAATAGATCATGGGGAAAAAAGAGTGCACATTTTTAAAGAGTTTTGTGATATTCCAGCACCGATAGGGCCATACCGGCGTCATACATAATACTTTGGGACAGAGGAGAAGAGTTACTAGAAGAAGTTTTAGCATTTCTGGAAATTACATGTACCTAACTGGGGGTCTGAGGTGTGAGTATTCCTCTTACCATCCTAAGGCAATTAGTCCCTTGGTTTCATGCCATTTTTCATGTTGATTTTTTGGCTCGGTTTTGAACCAAATGTGGGTCAGAAAAATTCCATTGGAATCAACTAAAATTGGACTGATACAGATCATGGAATTATACTACGGGTTATGTTCTCATGTTACGAGGTATTCTTTATTTCATTGCCAAATTGAAAAGGCGGAAGACTGTTTCTTTCATTCTAGAGTTACCAAGAATGTTAAATAAAGATCAGACTTGTTATTGCTGAGTCACAAATGCAGCTTAACTGGAGCAAAATTAGTGTCTCTGCTAATCTTTTCTCTTAGTGCTGGAGCACTGCATTGGAACAGTCCCCGTTCTACCTTTATTTAACATGTAAAATTTTAAGTATAAATTGTGGAAGCGAGCATTTTTTAGATGATTTTTGGACAGCAGTGTTGGGTTTTTTTGCTTGTTTGGTAGATGGTTTGAACACATCATAGCCTTCTCTCTCAGTCTCCTTGACCACAAGGTTCCCTTGGCCCAATCCCGCAAAAGCCAGCACTGACTCCTAGTGACCCTCATTGGGAAAACGGCTTTAATGAGCTGCTCAAGGCAGGTGGCACTCACAAAAGGAGTTTTTGGCATACGCCAGGATGGGATGCACTGTCACCCGTTCGGGGTATTGCGTTAAATCACAAAGCAAGTCATGACCACGATATGAGAGGGTGGATGTTACATGCTGGACCCATGTGTCCTGCCAGCAGATTCACCCTCTTGTGAGAGAAGTCTGTACAGGCACTGGCTTACTTCTGTCCTAGTTGGCTCGCATTAGCTCCTGATACTTCCAGTCCATATGTGGTATCCCTCTCTGCAGTATTTGGAAGAGGAGTGTTCCTGGGCATTAATGCACTGCATGATAAGCAGCCAAGAAAAAAGGCCATGAGAGCTGGGCCTGGCATTGCAGTGAAGTGTTAGAGTGTGGCACTGCTGTGGCCTCTGCTGCTCCTCTGGGGTGGGAAGGACCGGGAGGAGGAAGGATGGACATGAATTGGATGCATTTGTGTTTTCTTGTTACTCTAGATCTTTGAGGATTATGAAAAACTCCTTCATTCTGAGAATTATGTAACAAAGAGACAGTCTTTGAAGGTAAAGTAAAGTTTCTCAGCACTTTCCTTCTAAATTTGAACTCCACATTATGCAGAATATCAAGATGCATGTATGGCAATGGAGCAGCCACGTACTTTCTAACAAAAAAGAAATAAGTGCTTGGGGATGCTGCTCTTACGATGCACAAGAGCTCACTGTGACTTTTATTTCCTGGATCTCTGGCGAAGCATTGGGCCGTTTCTATGGAACAAGCACTATCATTTTTCCTCTGACCTCAAATCTGTACTTTGGTTCAGAACGTAGGTTAAAATGAACTTGCGAGTAATGTGATAGTCTCTTGTTTGTCTGGTGCTGCTTGCTGCTACAGCACCAAGTCTGACATGACCTGCAGATGGGAGCAGATAAGCGTGTTAATGTAACGTCCAAATGAAATGAAGGTGTCTTCGTGGGACAGCTGCACTACACTTGCTTCTGTCCTAGCTGGCTCACACCAGCTCCTATTACACCCAGCCATATGTGGGATCCCTCTCTGTAGTATTTAGAAGATGAGCATTACTGGGCATTAAGTAACTCACTGCATGATAACAAATGTAGTTACTTTTTTTTTAAAGGTAGTGACATTGAAACCTCTTAGGCAAGCATTAAAACATGTTGCTGCTTTCTTTACATTCACAAATAATGTGGTGCACTGAAAAACCTGAGGGTTTTTTTAATTGTCTCTATAGCTGCTGGGTGAATTGATTCTGGACCGACACAACTTTGCCATCATGACAAAATACATCAGCAAACCAGAAAATCTGAAGCTGATGATGAACTTGCTGCGAGATAAAAGCCCCAACATTCAGTTTGAAGCATTCCACGTGTTCAAGGTGAGCTAGTATGAGCTGTAGAGGTGTCAGACTTCCTCTTTTCCTCAGAAAAGTGTCTTTCAGGGTGGGCAGGAGAAAGCCCAGAAAATTAAGGCAAAGGTTGGGGTTTACAGTCACTTCCAGTATTTGAGAATGCCTTGAAAACCTTTCTATCACTCAGCCTCTGATTTCTGTTTGCTTTCCTTCAGGTGAGATCTAAAGCAGCATCATTTTGGTTTGGGCTGAGGGTAGTCACTCAAGTAGCGATGAGGTAGATGCTACGGGTAACAAAATACACAGCTTCTAGGTCGTATCCAGGGTACCTTCCCCCAACTCTTAGGTCATTTTACCATGTGATTCTGGGCAAAGATTAAAAAAAAAAGTCCTAAAACTCTACATTAAGACCAAAAGTAGATGGTGCTAGTGCTGTGCATCAGTATGAACACAATTTGCTTTTAAAGGTATTAAAAAGATTTGGTAAATCTGAGCTTGAAATGAGTTTAATCCTTCTGTCCTTTTGCAGTGATCATTAATGCCATCTTAAACAATTACCAGACCCAGTGTCCCTTTTTTCATGATGATTAATGTTAATAAGAGAAAAGTTTACTGTTTTCCTATCAAAAGAATTCTCTCCTCTGGGACAGAGGGTGAGTTGGATTGTTATTATGCAAAACTACCTTTAATTTGGAATGAACACATTAATTTCAAGCTATGTAAATACAGTTGTTAATGATTTTCAGAAGTGGAATATTGAGCCTGTAAGGATATTCTTCCCCAAGATGGTTAAGAAAGATACCAGATCACGCCAAAAGGCATGCTATTGTGAAAAGGTTACATCATCCTCCACAAATTTAGGGTTACTTGTTGAGTTTCGTACTTCTACCATTTCTGATTTGGAAAAAAGCTTTCAGATTTTCAGTGTGGAGGCTTAGAGGATATGTGGCTTCTCCAAAAACCTTTTTGATTCCCCCCCAAAAAAAAGCTTCAAGGAGGATTAAAAAAAAAAAATCCCTCCCTGAAATAAGCAGCTTGGTAAGCTGTTCCCTTGCTGACTTCCTCCATAGTCAGCTGAACCACTGTGAGTAACTTCTACTCCTCCTCCTTATCAGGAGGTATGTGGCTCCAAGATAAGAGAGCAGTCAGGCTCCAAACACTTGCAGCCTTTGAGGTGCCTATGGAGGGAAGAAATCAGAGGATTGGAGTCTCTTAGCCACTCTGTGAATAAATGCCAGATTTTTATGTATGAAACACATGAGTTGCTGTTCCTGAATTAATGATAGGCATGACCCAGGCCTTGGGAACAGCTGATTTTGCTTATTTTAAGAGGCATTTGAAAGGATTTGGAATAACTTGAAAGGATTCCAGTGTGCAACCATGTCATGCATTGCTGTTTCTCCCATTCTGGCTTCCCATTCCTCCCTTCCTTTCCTTTTCCAGTGTGTTGCATCCCATTTCCAGTTAGAGTGGAGATATTGTAGGCTCAGCCTTGCTTGACCGCTTGCAACTGCTACCATGTGGACATAATGCTGAGGCCTTCGGGTACCCAGCAAAACAAACAGTGCGTGGTGTTAATGTTCTGTCTCTTCAGTTCAAAGGGCCAAACTCTGTCCTCAGATAGTAACCTCCATGGGATGTTGTTGGTTTTTTCCAGCGGTACCCGTCAGCAGCATTTAAGCGGTGCCATGGTGTGCCTCACGCTATCTCACATGCACAGTGCTCATTGTGGGGAAATTGCAGACTCAGAGCAAAACCTGATCAGCTGGAAACTGTTTATAACTACCAGCAGCGCACTGGAGTAACTCCAGAGGTGCAGCAGAGCTCCCCTTTTAGGTCCTCACTGAGGATCTGGGCTAGCTGGATGTAGAAGCACTCAGCTTCTCCCTGGTGGGCAGGGTAGTTATAGGGTATGTTACAGAAAATTGCATTGTGAATTAGCTTTGTAGAGAGGGTCAGAGAAGAGCGTTTTCCTCTTATTTCACTTCTTAAATTGAATTCTAACTTCTTGAGAACTACTAAAGGAAATCCTTAAATATTTAAGAGAATGGGGGAAAACACTATTGGCTGGTTGTGCCCTGTTCTGCAGTGTCCCTGCCTCCTGTTTCTGGGTTAGTGTCCCTCAGCCCGGTTCTTGTCAGCTGTAATAATTCCATGTTAATGTAACTCGGAGAGGAATCTTGTGCTCAGCTTTTAATCTCATAAATTTTAAACTGTGCCTGCATTTTTAAATTGTGCTTGCAAAATACCTGTGCAGTCCTGGTTGAAATTACAGTAGGCTAACCACAGTGATCTGAAATCAAAGGTCTGCTGAGAAGTGGACACTTGCTGCTCTGTCTGTGCTGCCAAAAGATTTGGGTTTAAATTACCTGATTTAGATGTTTCACCAGTTAGACACAGCTGAAATGAAAAAGTGCTTGTTTTGTAAGCATCCAGATTCCAACACTCCCAGGCCCCAGCTGACCCCAAAAAAGGCATATGACTCTTACCTTCTTGAGGCAATTTCTAATTATCGAAGATTCAAAACTGTAAGATAGAGATGAAAATGATGAGCACCTCTAGTGCAAAAATATTTTGCAGGAACATGTCGTAGCTGAAAATGCCAGTACCCCTTCAAGCTCTGAGAACATTTCACTCATCCAGGATGGGAAATTGAAGACAAAGAGAGCGCCCACTTGCAGTGCCTCCTTCCATTCTCCATTGAATGCTTGATCTTCCTCCTAGTTCCAGCTCCTTCTCTTCCTTTTGCCTGAGCAAAATGGAGCTTCTGCCTTGCGGCACCATCCTAAAGGCCTGCGGCTGCTTTGTAAAGCTGGATGTCCCAGACAATGTATGCATGAGGATTAGCCAGTATTTAATCATCAGGAAAAGCTAACACACCTCACCCCTTTCCTCCTCCTCTGTAAATAACCCAATGGGGTTACCTAGAGTTGTAGGCTTTGAGAGTCACCGGTTCTTCTCTGCGCTGATTTCAGTGGAGAGGTCTCAGTCTTGAGCATGCACCCTTTGAGGACCAAATATTGGGAAGGGCTCTTCAGCTCCTGTGATGGATTTGTGACTGTTGTTAGTGGAGCCTGCTTTGAGTTTGCCTGTAGGGGAGACCAAATCTGTCAGACATATGTGAACGTGGTGCGGGTATTTCTTTGACCTTATGCATTTACAAATAAAGGCTAATAACAAGCTCTCTTGGCTTTCACATAAACAATTAGATTATTTTGAGGAAAACACCCTGTAGCGGTGAATTGGGATTATGCAACTTTCTTGTTCTTAAGCAGACATTTAGCAAGATATATTTTACTGTTTAAATCTAAAAATAGAATGGGTACACTGTGTTTTGTGACCTTAGTTTCATTTTTCCGTTCTCTTTCGTGCACATTACAGAGCTACCTCCTGCAGCTTGCTCTGCAAATGGTCTCACATAATTTGACTGTACTGACAGTTTCCACTTGGTATGAAGCTGAAACCACGTCTGTGGGGATGTGTCCTCTCTGTTTCTTAGCTGGAGAGTATATAGGGCAAGAAGTGTTATGCGAAGCATTACACTATAAGCAACATGAACTGTAAGGCACTTTTGTGTGCAGTTTCCTGACACAGTAAGATTGTGCATGACCCCAGAGTAAGTCTTAAAATACCTAATCCAGGGTATCCAATGTCTGTAATCGCTTTTGCTCTGCTGTAGTCCCAGAGGGTGGTGATGCCTGGTTATTAATTGTAAGGAAACAAGGTCAGGTTCTCTAATCAAGTGATTTTGGTATTTGAAGAAATCCAGTGTATGACTTTTAATGGAGAAGACAGCAACAGGTCCACTTTGGACAACTTTTGAAGCTTCAGAGTTGATTTTCATTCCAAGTCTTTTGCAAATATTCACACAATGGAACTGTGCCGAAACAGCTATGTTTAGAGTTGGAATTTTAATATGAGTTCTTTCTTTATTTTGGTCTCTGTCTCTCTCATATATCTGAACTAAGTGCTCTAGAACATGCAACCCTTCATAATAAAACCATAGGTTAAACAACGTTCTCTGTGAAGTGTTTTAGCTTCAGTTAATACTTCATTTTAGTAGAAATGTTCCAGATAGCATTAAAAATTATTTCTGTTTTCAGGGATTTATCTCCTCCTCTGTGACAATACAGAGTTATGAATGTGGGGGGCTCTTCTAAAAGTAAAGCCTTACGGTGGTCCTAATGCTGGGCTTTGTGAAGCTGATTAGTTGATGCTGGCAGACTTGATTCTGTTTGCTTAGCTGAAATATTGAATAGCATTTCAGGAATTTTTTGGTCCTTTAACATTCTCTCTTTACGAGTCCCTGTTGACACGGAGCAAGACTGGCAGTCAAGATGATCTGTGTTTGAATGTTCAGTTTGACAGTTTGGCAAAGGGAAGATTATAATCTATAACTAATCGAGCAGGAAGATAAACAGGATGTGATGTCTTCTATTAAACTAAGTTCTTTAATTATTTGCTCTGGTAGTACCAGTTGTAGGACCAATATGAAACACTGGTATTTACTACAACCTTGCAGTTCTGTTTTCAGACCAGATAGCTTTACAAGAAGAATGATTTAGATTTCTTCATTTTGCGAGTCAGCCTTCAGTTATCTTTATAAGAAGGCCTAATATTCATTGAAGGAAGATGTTCAGCACGTCCAGGTCAGGCTGTAATCAGATTATTTCTGAAAATATGGGTCCTGTCAGTTTACTTGATCGTTTTCTTCTCCTGGTCACAAAGAGGGAACTGAACTCCAAAATGAAAAACTTTTAATGCAGATCTGTAACGGTCATGTTCCTCACCCCTGGCCGTAGGCTTACTGCTTTTCTCAAAGGAAGCTTGTCCAGACGATTTAGGGCTTAATCACGGTCCAAATCCTGGAAGTATCCAGCCTCCATCAGCATGGTGACCTGCTGTAGGTCAGCACGTGGGAAGCTGCATCGTGGGGCTGCTCGAGCTGAGAGCATGAACTGCCGCAGTCTCAGCCAGAGCTAAACATTCGTACCCATGAGATTTCAAGATTCATATTCCTTAGCTAAGGCACAGACTGGAAGCTGTAAAGTACATTCAGTAGTGATTTATACCCCCAAACCCTTTATTTCTCATATGGGGAGCCAACGCATCAATAGCAGCACATCAAAATTATTTGCAAGGGAAGGGATATTGCTTTCAGATGCTGCAGGCAGCGACAGAACAGTCAGCTATCAACAGTCCATCAAGTGTAGTGAGAGCTGTGAACTGGCTGTCCCACCCACAGATAGATGTGTCCCTGGTAAGATCATAGAATCACAGAATAGTCTGGGTTGGAAGGGACCTCTAAAGGTCATCTAGTCCAACGCCCCTGCCGTGGGCAGGGACATCTTCAACTAGATCAGGTTGCTCAGAGCCCCGGCCAACCTCACCTTGAAGGTTTCCAGGGATGGGGCATCCACCACCTCTCTGGGCAACCTCTGCCAGTGCTTCACCACCCTCAGCGTAAAAAATGTCTTCCTTATAACTAGCCTACCTCTACCCCCTTTTAGTTTAAAGCCATTCCCCCTTGTCCTGTCACTACAGGCCCTGCTAAAAAGTTTGCCACCATCTTTTTTATAAGCCCCCTTTAAGTACTGATAGGCTGCAATAAGGTCTCCCCAAAGCCTTCTCTTCTCTAGGCTGAACAACCCCAACTCTCTCAGCCTTTCTTCATAGCAGAGGTGTTCCATCCCCCTGACCATTTTCGTGGCCCTCTCCTGGACCCGCTCCAACAGGTCCGTGTCTTTATTATGCTGAGGGCTCCAGAGCTGGACGCAGTACTCCAGGTGGGGTCTCACCAGAGCAGAGTAGAGGGGCAGAATCACCTCCCTCGACCTGCTGGCCACGCTGCTTTGGATGCAGCCCAGGATACGATTGACGATGTTGCACTTGGAGTACTTGGAGCATCTCGCAGGAAAGCTGTTATTTTAGAGTGCCTGCTCTGAAGGAATCCTTGGGAGTTGGGGCTGTTGGTGGTACTTAATAAGTTTTAGATGGCAAGTAGGCATAAAAAGAAATTATTTGAGATTGTAGTTCAGGGAAATCAGAGAAAGGCAATGTGGAGGCCTGTGCAAAGATGGTGTGAATAACTGTAGGTACTATACTGTCACAGGGACCGCAGCCTGGCCACTAGATCAAGGAAACCTTTGTAAAAGACTTGGGGCCTGGGAGCATTCACCCAGCATGGCAGAGGTTGCAGCTCTTTCCCCAGAGCAGAGGGAAAAGTACCTTGAAGCAGGGACTCCTAGGAGCAACCTGAGGAGGAGGGGTCCAGAGGAGACAAAAGCTTAGGCAGGGATTAGGGCTCTTATGGCATCAGGATGCCAGGGTTTAAGAGCAGATGCTTTGCCTCACCTTTACAGAATAAAAAAAATAGTCTTACCTCCCTGTCTGGGCAGAAGTACTTAGTGTGGTAGTGTTGATGTGTGCCAAGCCCCATTCCTTCCACACATTCCCCACGTGTGGCATTTTCCACACCATTCGTGTAACATCCCCTAATTGGGATGTATGAAGCCTAACGATGTGTCTGGTCTGAATCCTGTCCCAGGCTTTACCAGGCGTTGTTTCTGGGGGCAAGGGGCTGTAAGGCAGCCCCCTAGGACGGTGTGTGCGTGTTCCTCATCACGTAACGCGGCAGCTCCCTGCGCAGCTGCACGTGGCCCGGGTTTTCATGTGGGCACAATCTCAGCGGAGATAAATGAACCTGCAGAAGAGGCCCAGGTCTGGAGCCAGCGGCCCCGGGGCCGGTCAAGTGGTGGCGCCGCCTGCGCTCTGCCGGACAACGTGCCATTCTGTGCTGTCAGCAGATGTTTGTTTTCATTCGGGTTTGAACAGGCTTGGAGGGAAACTGGACATTTTCCAGTCCTGTCCATCCTTAATTTCTTCTCGTCGGGTAGAGAATAACTCGAGTTATTTATGTCGTTGCACAAGTGCTCGGGCGGTGTTTTGTTGACCAGCCATGGTAACCTCAGTGTGAGCCAGATGTGAGAGCTCCTCTCGGGGTGGCCGGGGGTGTGCTGTCCGTGTGTTCGCACCACCGGCCCCCTGCCCCGTCTGCCCCTCCTGACTGACGTCCGCAGAGCCCCCATCTCCGTGGCACCCTGAGGTCCCTGGGAAGAGCTTGTCATCGCTGGCCTTTACAACCGGCCTTAAGTTTCCTGTCGTCAGCCCACGTGTGAGGCAGAGAAAATGTTAAAGAAACAGTGTCACAGCACAGGGGGTCGTGTTCAGAGCTGGAAAACTCTGTGGCTTTAGGCATTACAGGAGGAAAAATCAGAGCACGGCTAGGTTTATCCTTAAAAACTGCTATCTGAGAAGACCAGTAAGCCCACAGCGCTGGGCTGGCTGTGCCAGGTGAGTATCTGTGTCTCACATCACCTCCCTGCATTGCCACCCTCCTCTGCTCGGCAAGGGCAGCGAAGGCGCTGGGCACACCATGGCGCTCCTGCTCCTGCTCCTGCTGCTGGAAATTTCCACGCTCCCATGAATGGATTAGGCAGAGGGAAGTGGAGCCTCTGACTTATTTTTCCAAACCAAAACAAAGTTGGCAAGTCTAATTTTAGACCTGGTTTAGTATGGAAATGATATCAATACTGACACAAAGCTTTTCCATTCTCCTGATAATTAATTTCTGTGTATTTAAGTCTTGCATGTGGAAGAGGCTGAGAATTGATAGCTCGCTCTCAACAGCTGGGTTTACAGTCAAATGCTTTTATCAACAAAGAGCAAAATTAAAGGGAAGCGATATCACACACAGGCATAGCTTTACTTCAGTTTGCTCTTGAACCAACATGTTTGTAACTCCTCTCTCTCTGCCTTGGGACAAGGTGTGTAGCAGCAGAGTATCTGCCTGCCAGCCTTCAGGTGACTTGTTAGAAAATAACTTACGGGGATGTTGTGACTGATGTTCCTCTCCCTCTCCCTCCCTCTCTCTCTCTCTCTGTGTCTTGATGTGCCTGGTTTTGTTTGCATGTTAGGTTTTTGTGGCCAGTCCAAACAAAACACAGCCTATTGTGGAGATCCTGTTGAAAAACCAACCTAAGCTAATTGAGTTTCTGAGCAATTTCCAGAAGGAGAGGACGGATGATGAACAATTCACTGATGAGAAGAACTACCTAATTAAGCAAATCCGAGACTTGAAAAAGCCAACGGCATGAAGAACTCCTCTCGTTTTCCACTGTAGGCATTAATCTCATTTGTTAAGTTCCTCTGTGTCCCTTAAACACCACAATAGTGCTTGAGAAGGCACAGCAAGTGCCTGGTTTTTATTTTGTCTTTGTTCCTAGATGTCAAGAGTATAGGGGTTTTACATGAAAACTAAAAAAACAAAAATCTAGAATAATATATTATTTTTAATCAAGACTATAATTATTTATGTCAGTTTAGAATCTCTCTGTAATAGAAGCTGCTTTGATGGATTTTCATTTGTGCTCAAGAAGAATGAACCTCTTTGCTTAACTTTATCAGCAAACTCAAGCTGTTGGTGAGTGCACAGAGTAGGTCTTCTGAGGACCGTAACGTTGTTCCTTTGCACCTGTAATTGTGACTTTGTTCTAGTGCTGCACACACACAAGACTGTGAAAGAGTACGTTCGTCTCTGGAGTTAGCTGCACTTACAGATCAGGTTCTTTAGTCAAAACAGCGGGAGATGAAAAAGCAGTAAAGGTCACGTTTTTGCTCTATTTTTGTGTTCTTTCATCTTTAAGTTTTCTTTTCCCCTAGATCAGAGGTTTTCTATTCAGTGCTAGGGAATGGATGAAGACATCAGCCAGATGAGCTGTTTCTGCCTGCCTCCCATTTTCCTGTACGTGGTCTACCCTGTGCTAGAGCACAGGCTATTCCCACCAGCTCCCAAGCAGGCTGATGAGGAGCAGCCCCAGGTACATGGCGCCCATGGACCCCCCAATGGGAAGAAGGCAAGAGCAACCCCCTCCGTCAAGGCCCATGCGGTATTGCTAATAAAGTGATCCTGCACCTACAAAAATCAGCAAGAAGCCTGTCCCCAGTTTCAGTGGAAATAATATTGGGTGGTGGCCAGAGCTACGTGGCTGAATCGTGCCAAGCGCTGAGCCCCAGCACCAGTGCGAGAGGAGGGTGCTCAGCGTCTTCCCATCCGGATTCAAATCCCGGTTGTGTGAGGCAGGGTTGAGCCGAGTTCAGCAAGGGGATGCT